GAAGCTTGACTCATTTGATCCTGCCATCGAAGACTGGGCCCGATACGTGGAAAGAATGCAATATTCTTTTCCAGGCTAATGATATCAGGGCAGATGAAAAGTAACGAGTAAAACTTCTGACTGCTTGCAGACCCACAGCATTTTCAGTTATAAGGGGCTTAAGTTTCCGAGAGGCACTACTAAAACCTTCCAAGAATTGATGAAGTTGGAATACTCTAAACCCAAACCTGCTCTAGTGAGATACTATTGGTTTTATTCAGCTGTTAGAGAACTGGAGGAATCCGTGTTGATGAGATTAAGACGACTGGCAGAGGCTTGTGATTTTGGGTTAACCCTTAAATGAGATGCTGAGACACCATTTGGTATGTGGGATTAATGACATAACCGTGCAGAAGCGCTCACTAGCCCAAATGGACTCCAAACAGGCATTACAACTGGCTCTGTCATTAGAAAATGTGGCAAGTGGAGCATGGGAACCACAGGGCATCCCAATAGAAGTGGACACCCTCAGCTGTCCAACTGAGGTTAGGCAATACCACTTGCATGTAGGCACTCAGAGCCTGATGCAGAGCATATCCTGAGCAGAGGGGCACCACATGAAAGCCATGCCTAGGCCAAGTGTCTAAAAGTTATTCAGGATCTGGACCAGCAAGCCATTGCAGTTGCTGTCGCGAGACAAGGTGTCCTAAGAGGCCTGACTTGAGTAAGAAATCTCAGACTAGTACCCAGGGGAGTGCACACCCTGGAAAGTCCCCCTGCATGGGTTGGAACAATTAAATTGCTTAGTGACATCCAAATCGAAACTGAATAAAATTGATGTCTATAGGTGTGAGGCTGGAAAAGCACAGCAGGTCAGACAGCATCCGAGGAACAGGTAAGTCAACACTTTGGGCTGAAACCCTTCATCAGGACTGTTTGGATAAATGATCACCCAGCTCCCATGGAGGTTGCTACTGGTAGAGCTGTATCTGTGGTTGCAGAATTTGTCTTTATCAAGATTCGTTCAGGTCTCCAACCCTTAAGTTTGTGCAAGACCTCAGCCAGACTGAGAACATACACTGGGGAACTGTTGCAAATTAAAGGGATGACTTCGGTTCCGGTCTCCCACGAGAAGCAAATTGGTGCAATTACCACTGATGGTTGTAAATGGTTTGGGTCCAAGCCTATTGGGAGGGAATTGGTTGAGAAAGATTCACCTAGATTGGCTCAATATTTTTTGATTTTAAAAAATGGCTGTCTCAGTGAAGTCCTGGTGAAATAGGCAAGAGTTTTTCAAGTAGGGCTTGGGACTATCAAAGGGGACAAAGCCACTTTACACGTCGACCAGAAGCAATTCCACGATTTTACGAGGCCTGACCAGTGCCGTTTGCCTTGTGGGCAAGAGTAGAGGCAGAAATCTGGAGGCCGGAGAGAGAAGGAATCATCAATCCAGTTTGTTTTTGCATGGATTTTAAGCAAACGGTAAACCATTTCTCGCAGCTGGATAAATACCCAATCCCTTGCCTACAGGACTTGTAGCAAAGTTGGCGAGGAGTGAGAAACTTCCACCAGTACCTTTACTGATGGGAATTTGTCACAGTACAGATCATAAACTCCTGCTAGGGCTACTGAAGGAAGACATGGCTGTGCTGCCCGTAGCTTCAGGTAGAATTCAGCAGTGGGCCTTTATTCTCAGCACATACAAGTTAGAATGATGTCCAGGAAGCCAAGTGGCTAATGTGGATGCCCTGAGCTGCCTCCCACTGGCAGATACTCCACCAGTGGTGCCTCCCTTGGAAGAGACTGTTTTGGTTTTAAACTTCCTGGACACCCTTCCAGTCACCGCTGACAATATCCAACTGTGGATACAAAAAGATCCTGTCGTAGCAAAACTAAAACAGTTGGTGGTAATGGGGGGAGACAGAAGGGCCATCGCAACCAGGGCTGAAACATTTCTGGACCCAGTAAGACCAGATCACTATACAGGATGGCACATTACTTTGGGGAACAAGAGTGATTGTCCCGAGCAAAGGTCGCCTCCAGATACTGGCTGAACTCCACCAGGTCATCCAGGGGTTTCCAAGATGAAGACGCTAGCAAGAAGCTATGCCATGGTTGGATGGCAACATAGCTGTGTTGGTGCGGCAGTTCCCGGAGTGCCAACAAGGACAAAAATTGCCACCAGCGACGGCCCCACATACATGGGAATGGCCAGGTTAACCCTGCACTCAGTTACATGTCGACTATGCCGGTCCTTTCATGGGCTCAGTGTTCCTGGTCATTGTGGATACCCATTCAGAGTGGTTGGACGTGCATTAAGTCAGTTCAGCAAATGCAGGGATAACAATTGAGAAGCTGCAAGCATGAAATTTGAATAATTCCTGAAGTCAAATGGCATTCAACACATAAGAACAGCTCCATATCATCCATCATCCAATGGTCTGGCTGAAAGTGTGGTCCAAATGTTGAAGGCAGTCTTAAAGAAGCAGCCTACAGCATCACTCAATACGAAACTGTCCTGGCTCCTGTTCAATTATAGGACCACCCCTCACACAACAACAGGGATAGCTCCAGCAGAGTTGCTGATGGGAAGAAGACTCTCTACCAGGTTAAACCTGATATTCCCAGACCTGGGGGAGGTGAAACGGCAGCAGGAACACCAATGCCGCCACATGCCTCCTCTAAGCAAGAGAGCCAATTTAATTCAGGAGATGAAGTTTGGTGCCAGAACCATGGAAATGACCATGAATGGGAATAAGACGAGGTCAACGTGAGGTCAGGTCCTCTGTACAAAGTTCAGGTAGGTGATACAGTCCTGAATAAACATGCGGATCACCTGAAAACTGTTACCTCACAAACGGAGCAGCAGCAAAACATATCTGGCCCCTCAGAACAGCCAGAAGGCCTGTCAGAAACCGTAGGTTCTCCTCTTCCGTATAGCATTGAGGAAACTTCAGAGTCTGAGAAGGATGCAGCCTCGATATCATTGCTGCTGGAAGAAGAGGAATCTCTCCCGAGACGCTCCGGACTCAAGAGAACAGCCACAGTCCAATACATGCCACCTGTGTCAGAGTCTGAATCAGAGGAACTAGACCTGGGGTGAAAACGTCGCAGAAAAAGCTACAGCAAAAGACCAGGCCCATAGCCCCAGACTTAGTGGGGGAGGGATGTAGCGATTGGAACCAGATGGACCTTGTTGACTACAAGGTCCTTGATTGGGGTTGTTAACCCAGGCTAATCAGGAAGCCCTGGCAACCAATATAAACAGGGGACTGAGAATCTCCTCTGTTCAGGGGACTGACTTTGAGCTGGCTGGGCGGCTCAGTGGTCAGCACCACTGCTTCACAGCATCAGGGACCCGGGTTTGATTCCACCCTCAGGTGATTGTGTGTGGAGTTTGCACATTCTCCTCTTGTCTGCTTGGGTTTCCTCCCACAGTCCAAAGATGTGCAGGTTAGGTGGACTGGCCATGCTAAATTGCCTATAGTATTCAGGGATGTGTAGGTTAGGTGTGTTAGCCTTGGGAAAAGCAGGGAAAGGGCAGGGGGATGGGTCTTGGTGGGATGCTCTTCGGAGGGTCGGTATGGACTTGTTGGGTCGAAGGACCTGTTTCCACACTGTAGGGAGTCTGAGTCAGTGTACTGCGCACAAGAAAATAAGGGGTGATTTTGGTGATGGGATACCAGCCTCTCTGCAGTTATTTCAAGCTGTATATTTGAATTGAGGAAACTGAAGTAAATGACAGTCAACAACATAGCTTTGCATTCAGATTGTTTGTGTTCAGGGCAGTGTGAAGGAAGCTATCACATATTGTTATAGTAAGTTATAATTTTGTTACTCTGATAACTGTGCAATGATATAGACTAGATCAACTGTGAACATTAGTTCTCCTAAGATAATGTAATTATGTATGTGTTAAAAGGTTAAATTCTGCATTTATATTGACAATATAATATTTACACACTGAATTTAGCAAATTCAGTTGTTGAAGATGCTTTCACAGTGTAGTACCACTAAAACCAAGATTTTTTTCATACTATTTTGCAGCTACTGCTTTGGGTACCAAAAGAAAATCCACTGGAGACTTAGTCATTTATATTATGCTCACTCTTGTTTTCTTCAATACAGTATTCAGGATAAGATTGTATTACGTTTACTTTTTGCAGTAATTTAGATATAGTGGACCTTTATTTTTTATTAAAGATATGAGAATGGAAGGGAGAAGCATAACAGGACCTCATCTAGTGCAGTCTCTTGTTTAGCTACAATAGATTTAGCAAGCTAATTACCAAAAACTCAGAGCACACTGTTAGCTGACAGCAAGAAGAATTCAAAGAGGTTCTTTAAAGTGTTTGCACTTGCAAATTGAAACATTAGCTAAGTCAGTCAATAGATTAGATAGGAAATAATACTAGTTTAAAACACTATAAGAAAAAGTCTGACATACTAACGTGCTTGAGAATTCAAAAATAACTGGCTATTCTTTACATTACAAAAATTATACAATTTTGCTTTTTCATATTAAGTAGTCATACTACCACTTTATTATGTTAAAAAGTAAATGTTCATGGTAAATGATGCCTCCTTCATATATTTTGGATGAAATTTGATCGCTAAACTATAAGTTAATTGCTATAGTCCAGACAAAGTTTGAATAAAAAGTTCTGTGGTTTTAAAGAGCATCTTTTTGATGAGGTTGCAGTGTGTTACAGGATAACCAGATAGTCGTTTATGGCTCTGCTTTCTCAATGTGATGTAAACGGTTAGTGAAGAAAAAGAATCATAATTCTCTAGTACATTAATAATGTTTAATGTAGATGATGTGATGCCCTATAGATGTATAATAGAGATAGTTACTTCACTTGAATTTCAATTCTCAATGCTGTAGTGAGGATCTTACGTCAAAATTTAAAGATCTAATAAAACCATTCTTCAGTTTATCTTATTTTGAGCTTTAAACTATTAATCCGCAATCATTTTGACTTCTTTTTCTCGTTGCTCAAAAAAAAGTTTTCTGCCACTTACTGAGGACAGGGGCTCTGGCTGGTTTTGGTGAAGAGTGTTTTGGAGACGACTCTGGACGAGGAGCCACAGGTTGAACTGGTCGAGTCTGTTTGGCCGCTAACTTTTTTAAACTAGCCTGACGCTTTTCAAACATTTCTTGGACATTTTCAAGCTTCTGAAGGATTGTTGATATGTTAGCCTGGAACAGAAATAAAAGCAATATTAAAGTATTTGGTGTGTAGATTTTTTGTCACCAATTTCTACTCTCCACAACTAGGCTTCTTTTTTCCCAATTTCTGATTTTAATCTCCACTTCAGTCCCCTTTGCTATCTCTAATCAAAATTCATTGATTTCATGTCTTATCCATCTTGATTGATTGACTGACTAAACCTTGCCATCTTCCATGGCCCCTTATCTGATAAATGAATAAAGTAATCTACCGCTTGTTTCTTTTTCTTTCTAAACTGTTTTGTCTGTTCATTACAGGATGACTCTGGAAAACAACACTAATAATTAATTATTTTTAACTATAGTTTACCTCAACTTCTTCAGTGAGAAACAGTTCAAATTGCTTATAAAACTCTTTAGGATTAGTGAGCTTGTGATCTTTGGCCGTTTCAAGAAAATTCTCAATATCTTGGAGTGCAGCTTCAGCTCCTTCTTGAGATTGGCACTTATCCACCGCTTGAGATGCCAAGAGATAGATGCCTGTTTCACACCACTCCTTGGCCTTGGAGGACAAAATAAAATAATTAAAATAGAATATTAAGAGTTATTTGTTTTGTGAGTAATTGTTAAAATCAAAAAAGATTAATTACACTGTCCAGTTGCTTATGGACTTTGAGAGATTTTCCAAGCATGTCGCGTTTTTTCTTCATTTCGTTGGTAAAATCATCACATATACGCCTGAGTTCATTACATTTTGGTCGGATGGAGTCAATGGCATAGTGGTTGCTTTGGATAAGTTGATCTCCATGCACAGCCAATAATTGTGCCTTTTCTAATGATTCCTGCAAAAAAATACAACAAAATAACAGAACAGTAACAGTTGAGCTGGATGATCATTTTGTTTGAAAAGGTTATCAGCAAAACATCTTGCAGATTATAAGCCTAGAATATTTGAAGGCAAAATATTAATTTCTTTATAAGCCACTTCTGTGCGTGCTATTTTGCTAATAAATTAGAAGACTTCAGGCATATTGCCCCTCAAACTAGTAAGATATCCTATGGGGATTCCTCCTGATGTCTACCTATGCTTGTAACTTTTGCCATATTAGAAATTACTCTTTAGAATGTCACATTGAATACATTGGATATGTAATGTGATAAAGGTAATTCAGTGTAACTTTTCAAATATATTTTGCACAGTCACCAAAAAGGAGCCAAATTTGTTACACTGAAAAATAAGAACATAATGAGCATATTTTTCTATAAGTGTTCCGGTACTGGTTGAGGCTCCCCCCCACCTCCAGGCATAACTGGTTGATTTTCCATTTATTTGGTTTTATATACTAACTTCCAATCTGCTTTTATATTTTAAATGGTCAATTTAGATACTTGGGCATGATGGTGAAGGGTCAATGTGTGCAGATGATGCACTTAGCTATGCATCTCAATGCAATATACACAAAACTCCAATGTTAGTTATTCTGCACTCTCAACATTCTTCGTGCTACCAAATTGCCAAAACTTTGAGTTTTGTTCACAAATATAAATTGAATATATTTTTAGTCAAAAGGAAATGTGAATATAGGGAGCTTTCTAAATGTATATGAGCACCACAAGTCTTTGATACAGCATTGTTAAATATCATGGGTTATCATTAATGTGTTCAGCAAGCTTATTAAAATTATAATTTCAGTAAGTTAGGTTGGTCAGCTCATTTAGGAAATTCTGGTCTGCCTGCAGTGGAGGCTATAGGTAGTTGGAAAATGAATTAAGCATATTTGCAATCTAAAACTGATAATCACCCGAGTAATCATGTAATGACTTAACTAGCGAAGTTTAATTTCTGTTTTGTCATGGAATTACAGGACTTTAAGAGTGTGAGGGAGAGAGCTCATTTGTTGAAGACTGAGTGGCATGTAACTTATTTACCTGTGCTTTCTCTTCCTTCATTTGGAGTTCTTTTAGAAGGCGTTCCACAGAGGCTACACTGTCTCCAATGCCAGTGAAAACAGACTGTGTTCCTGTTAAACAATCCAGAATAACTTTCACCTGCAAAGAGAGAATCAGCAGTAATTAGTTTCCAGTCCTTCATTTCAATTTTATCATTGCATCCAGAAATCCACACTTCACATTTACCTGAATCTCAGCAGCCCACAGCATAAGTATGGACTTTCAAATTAATTTCTGGTTGGTTTTTATTGGATTCTGACAACATATAATTGTGTTTGAATACTAATTGTATGGTTAATTAAGGTCAGCACACCTGAAGTTTTAGTACAGTTAGTATAACTTTAAAATAAAACTTAAACTATTATACTAAAATCCAGGAGAAAGAAGTTCATCTGTCGATCAAAAGTCGGAACTGTACACATATGGATTCTAACATCTTCTAACCATAACAACAACATACGTATGTGGTTGAAAATATTAAATACATAACTCCACAAACTTTGCTAATGCTTGATTTATATTCTATGTTATTGCATTCCTTTACCAATGCTCATAACGTAAAGTTTTAATATAAATGCAAATTTATTCATCATACCCCATGGTACTTCACAGCCAATGAATCACTGTTGTATTCTGAAGGAACGCAGCATCCAATTTGCTATCAGCAATGTGTTATGTACAATATGGAAGTATTGGTTCTAGGGTATTAGAGGTCATGTAACACAGTGAGTGGTGTCCCTGCCTCTGAGCCAGACGTTCTGGGCTAAACCAGCCAGAACTTGATCACCATGGAGGGCGTACACATAATGTGTGTTTAATTGTGAAATGTGGAAAAAATAAATTATGACCTTCTCTCACACATTGTCAGTTCCACTTTACATATAATTATTTCTAATCGCATCTTAAAACTTTGTCAAGATTGTGACACTGTTTGAACTGTCTAAGCATCTTTTCCACTTCCTATCTTGCTGTTGCAAACTTCTTGTATTCTATGTGAGACCTTATGGACAGAGGAAGTGAATCTTTAAATTCTTAGAGAATTATTTTCCTAAAGGGGCACATATGTAGTCTCTATCTTTAATATCCACATCAAGTAGTCAAAATTATTTTGCATTAAACTCTCAATTCTTTTTATACACCCACTCAGTCTATTTCTGAATATTCCAGAATTTCTAACACTAAGAGTCAAGGATCAGCTCCTATGCACTGCAAATGACCTTTTTTAATACCTCAGTCTATAGTCACCTCCTTAGAAAGCAAAGCATAGGCTTCTTTACTTCTACCGATCAGTCTACACTTAGTTCCAGTCTTTTAAGCATCTATTCCCTTTGTCTCCTTTTCTCTGGTCTTCAATGCTCTTTCCTTTTCTTTTTCTGCCACTGAAGTGCTTCTTTTTGAGTTGAAATTTTTGATAGTTCAATACTCTTCCTTGATTTTTAATTTCCTTTTCGATTTCAAACTGCTTCATCTGCAATTGAATTCTTGCTAACTCAATTGACTCACCATCTAGTTTTGTTGCTGTTCTTTCAACTTCCACTGTTGTGCTATTACCTCAATTTGAGTCATAGAGTCATAGAGATCTACAGCGTGAAAACAGGCCCTTCAGCCCAACTTGCCCATGCCGCCTAGTTTTACAATTTAAACTAGTCACATTTGCCTGAGTTTGGTCCATATCCCCCCATACCCATCCCATCCATGTACCTGTCTAAATGTTTCCTAAATGACAAAATTATACTCGCTGCTACCACTAACCCTGGCAGCCCGTTCCAGACACTGGCCACCTTCTGTTAAAAAATTGCCCCTCTGGATCTTTTTGTATTTCTCCCCTCTCACCTTAAACCTATGCCCTCTAGTTTTAGACTCCCCTACCGTGAGGAAAAGCTGTCCATTATCTACCTTATCTATGCCTCTCATGATTTAAATACGTCTGTAAGGTCACTCCTCGGTCTCCTAAGCTCCACTGGTATGCTGAAAGCCTTCTTCACCGCCCTGTCTACCTGTGAATCCATTTTCAAGGACCTATGAAGCTGTACCCCGCATCACTTTGTTCTATAACATTACCCAGGGCCCTACCATTGATTGTGTAAGTCCTACCCTGATTTGCTTTACCAGAATGCAACATTTTGCATTTATCTAAATTAAACTCCATCTCCCAATACTCAACCCATCGGCCCAGTTGATCAAGATCTTGCTGCATTCCTAGATAACCGTCCAAATACACTACATAATCTTGGTGTCATTTGCAAACTTACCATACCTCCTAAATTCTCATCCAAATCATTTATGTAAAGTGACAAATAACAGTGGACCCAGCCCCCATCCCTGTGGCACACCGTTGGTCACAGGCCTCCAGTCTGAAAAACAATCCACTATCAAGACGATCTGTCTTCTACCATCAAGCCAATTTTGTATCCAGTTGGCTAGCTCTCCCTGGATCCCGTGAGATTTAGCCTTACCATACAGTACCTTGTCAAAGGCCTTTCTAAACTTCATGTAAACAACGTCCACTGCACTGCACTCATCTACTTTCCTGGTCAACCCTTCAAAAACTCAATCAAATTTGTGAGGCATGATTTCCACTCACCAAGCCATGCTGACTGTCCCAAATGAGTCCTGGCCTCTCCAAATGCCTGTAGATCCTGTCTCTCAGAATCCTCTCTAACAACTTACCCACCAAGGATGTTAGGCTCACCGGTCTAGAGCTCTCAGGTATTTCCCTGCAGCATTTCTTAAATAATGGCACAACATTAGCCCCCTCCAATCTTCAGGCTGTTGATGATCTAAATATTCTCCCTCATTCCCTCCAACTAATATTATTGATGGTTCACACAAGAAGTAGGAGCAGGAGAAACTCATATAGCCTGTCATGGCTGATCTTTGGCTTCAACTTCAATCTCCTGCCCATTACCTTTGATTCACTGAGAGACCAACCATTTGTCAGGCCCACCTTAAATCTATTCAATGATAAAGAATGTACAACTCTTTGCGGTGGTGAATACCGAATGTTCAGACCCCTTTCAGTGAAGAAATTTCTCATCTCAGTCCCTTTTATCCCGAGACTCAGCCTCAATGTTTTAGATTCCTGCCCAGCAGAAACAATCTCTCGGCATCTACACTATCAAAACCCCTTAGAATGTTTTATCTTTTAATAAGACAGTCTCTAATTCTTCTAAACTCCAAAGAACACAGACCCGTTTTGCTCAGACTCTCAACACAGGACAACCCCCTCATCTCATGTCTTAATTTAGTGCAACTTCTCTGTACTGCCTAGTGTGACAACATATATTAAATACGGAGACCAAAAATTCACACAGTGCCCCAGACATTGTATAATTGTAACATGGCTTCTCTGTTCTTACATTCCAATCCCCTTGCAATAAAGGCCAATAATTATTTGTCTTCCTCATTGCTTGGTGTACCGTGAAACTTGCACATTTCATACAAATCTGTTTGAATATCAGCACTTATGAAGACACTTTATGTTTAATCTTGCTTGGAGGACTAAAGTTCTAAAAGATTCTGGAAAAAGGAATTTATTTCAAAATCGGTGGTCACACCTGGAGTTGTTTCTTTAAAAAAATTATTGCAAGTTCACTGTGGACATTGGAGTTAATTTTAAAAAGGCTTCCGAGAAATCCTGCATCATGTCTCGCTGTGGTAGTGTGCTGGAAATCAAACTCTGCTTTTCCCAGAATCATCACAAAAGTTAAAGATTTTATCAAATTATGCAGAATTCCCTGGCCCCTCTACCCAGGCCTCTCGGGATTCTGTAGGTTTCAATGAGATCGCACCTCATCCTTCTAAATTCCATCAAACACACATCCAGAATCCTTAACCGCTCCTTAAACGACAAGGCTTTCATCCTCAGGATCATTCTTGTAAACCTCTTCTGGACCCCCTCCAATGCCAATACATCTTTCTTTAGATACGGGGCCAAAAACTGTACATATTATTCCAAATGTGGTCTGACCAGAGTCTTATGTAGCTTCAGCAGTGCATCTCTGCTGTTGTATTCTAGCCCTCTTGAAATGAATGTGAACATTGCAGTTGCCTTCCTAACTGCCAACTGAACCTGCATTTTAAAAGAATCCTGAACTAGGACTCCTAAGTCCCTTTGTGCTTCAGATTTCCAAAGTCTTTCCCCGTTTAGAAAATAGTTTATATCTCTATTCTTCCTACTAAAAAGGTGGAACTTCACCCTTTCTCAAAATGTATTCAATCTTCCACTTCCTTGCCCACACTGTAGTGTGTCCAAGTGCTTCTGCAACCTCCCTGCTTCCTCAACACTACCTACTCCCCCACTTATATTCATGTCATCTGCAAATTTAGCAACAATGCCCTCAGTTCCTTCATCCAGATTGTTAATATATTATCATGTGTAGTTATGGTCCCAACACAGATCCCTGTGGAACTCCACTAGTCACTGAGTGCTATCCTGAAAAAGACCACTTTATCCCCACTCTCTGCTTTCTACCAGTCAGCCATGCCTGTACCTTGCCCCTAACACCATGGGCTTTTCTCTTATTTGGAAACCTCCTGTGTGGCATCTTGTCAAAGCCTCTGGAAATCCAAATAAAAACTGAAAGAACTGAGAATGCTGTAATTCAGGGACAAAACCAGAAGTTGATGGAAAAGCTCAGGAGGTCTGGCAGCATCTGTGAAGAAAATATCAGAGTTGAAGTTTCGGGTCCGGTGACCCTTCCGAGGATAGGTCACCAGACCCAAAACGTTAGCTCTGACATTTTCTTCACAGATGCTGCCAGACCTGCTGAGCTTTTCCAGAAACTTCTGGTTTTGCCTCTGGATATCCAAATAGATTACATCCACTGGTTCATATTTGTCTAACTTACTTGTTACCTCCTCAAAGAAGTCTAACAGATTTGTCAGGCATGACCTCCCCTTAATGAAGCCATGCTAACTCAGCCCTATTTTACCGTACACTTTCAAGTACTCTGCCATCTCATCCTTAAAATCTTACTACTGATCGAGGTCAGGCTAAACAGCTTATAATTTCCTATCTTCTGCCTTCCTCCCTTCTTAAACAGGGGTGTTACATTCATTTTCCAGTTCTCTGGGACCCTCCATGACTGGTTCATAAC